ACCCTGTTGTAGTTTACTGTTTATATTTACCGTGTTGTAGTTTATCGTTTATTTACCCTGTTGTAGTTTACTGTTTATATTTACCGTGTTGTAGTTTATCGTTTATTTACTGTGTCGTAGTTTACTGTTTATATTTACCGTGTTGTAGTTTACTGTTTATATTTACCCTGTTGTAGTTTACTGTTTATATTTACCGTGTTGTAGTTTATCGTTTATTTACTGTGTCGTAGTTTACTGTTTATATTTACCGTGTTGTAGTTTATCGTTTATTTACTGTGTCGTAGTTTACTGTTTATATTTACCATGTTGTAGTTTATCGTTTATTCAGTGTCACTATATTCAGACTGATTATATACTGTATTTTGCGCATGCTCTTTGATTCTTGAGCTCAAACAACGAATTGTAGAGCCCACATAGCCAAGGTTACACCTTGGACATGTAGATTTGTAGATGACATAAGAGCGATGCGTTTTAGGGATCCTGTCTTTAAATTTAAAATAATTACACTTACGACATACCGGTTTGTAAACAATTCTACAGTTAATTTGTGGATAAATTTTGTTATTTAAAATCGATTTAATCTTTTTCTTCAGTTCTATTACGTGTTTGCCAGTAAAAGATAGAATATAATAAGCTATTTCTTTAGTTTCAACACGTTTACTGATTTTATGAATGTACCGAGTTTTTAAGTAATTACTACTAATAATAATATTAATTAACTGTACAGAAATAAAAAAAAAGAAAACCTTTATATTTTGTTCTTCTTCATGGAATCCAGAAAAGGAATTGACCATATTATAAGGCCCGATGAATTAAATTAAAAATTTATTCCTTCTTAAATTCAAAAGGTAAAAAAAGCTATCAAAACCAAAATATTGCCCAGTAAACATTAGTTTATATAACACTTAATGTCAAACTTCTACTTAAGTTAACTATCCTGATATCTAAAAAACGAAAACTATTAACAGTTTGTTCTTCTATTGTAAATTTAATATTATTGTGTTGACTGTTCAAGTAATTTTGGAATTCCTGAATATAAAATTTATTTTTAAAACCTACAAATATCTTCTGTAATATAAAAGTTTAAACTTTTTGGGACAATTTTCTAACCACCTTTTCTCATGATGACTTAACAACAAATTTGCTAAACCTGGTGTAATCCTTGAACCCATAGACACCTCAGCAAGTTGTTAATAATGGCAACCATT